GTTTTTCATCTTTTATATTATTTAGTAAAAGTTATACTTTAAATCCCTCATCAAAATCATCGATAAAATCCAAAAAAAAAAAAACAAAATGATTTTTTGAAGGTAGTGACAAAACAATAAAAAACAATCAAAAAAGTTTAGGCAACATCTGTATCATGCGTGTTATAGGAACTAGGAAGTTGGGCTTACTTGATTGGTACAAATTGGAATATTCCCTTATTCTTATATTTCGTATGCAATTAATTATTTTATTAAATAGATCCTCACTTTGGTTGTTTGAATTAAGAAGAGTAAATAACTACTATTTAAAAATATAATTTTACATACTTTAGTTTGAAAGGTTGTTGCGTGATTCACTAACTACCATATCTAAAAAAAGATAATCCTCATATACGATATGAAAGTATAATTGTGTAGATTCACTAAATGCCGTATATAAAAATTCAGTATTATTAAAGATAATGAAATAACCGAGATTTTTTTTCATTCTAACTTGTTATTAGTGTGTTTAAGAAATTAAAATCAGATAGTCCCGAAAGATTACAAAAATATTTTATTGTTGAAGAAGTTAATATAATAAGAGTGATTTTCGTTTAAAAACGTGACCATGGTGTTTCATTTGATAACTATTAATTAATATAAATATAAAATTTGACATAGTGAGAAAATCAATTTAAAACAGAACGAAAAGAGTATGAGACAAAAGTGGACTCGTGCGTTGAACAGAATCGTTGTGAGTCGTTCCAGTCCTCACAACAACGCTTTGATTATTAGCCGAAAAAGAAAAAGAAAAAACTCAATGCCGGAGAATTCTTCGTCGGTAGACTACGAGATGGAGAAGGCGTCGGGGGCTCACTTCTCGGGGCTTCGCTTCGACGGCCTTCTCTCTTCTTCTTCTCCACCCAGTTCCAGTTCCTCCCTCTCTTCTCCTGATCCTCAAGCTCCCAAACAGCCCTTCGTTATAGGTAATTTCTAGGATTTTTTTTGGGTGTTAGAATTTTATTACAGAACTAATCTGGTTTCGAGCGGTTTCTACATGAATATGATTCAGTGTTTTTGATTTGTGTGTGTGTGTAGGGGTTTCTGGTGGTACGGCTTCTGGTAAGACAACAGTGTGCGACATGATAATTCAGCAACTTCATGACCAGCGTGTTGTTCTAATTAACCAGGTTTTGATTCTTACATTCACATCATCATCATCATAGAGTATTTTGGAATTGATTGTTGTTTGTCTTGTAATTAGGATTCGTTTTACCGTGGTTTGACAACTGAAGAGCTCCAGCGTGTGCACGAGTACAACTTTGATCATCCAGGTAAAAGCTCTCTTCTTACTACTTTGTTTCTTTTGCTTTCAAGTGAAAATGATGGTTTCTTCTTGTGCAGATGCGTTTGACACGGAGCAGCTTTTGCATTGTGCTGAGACTCTGAAGAGCGGACAACCTTACCAAGTTCCAATCTACGACTTTAAGACCCATCAACGTAGTTCTGATGCTTTCCGCCAGGTTAACTTAACGGACATATCTTCGATCCCTCCTATTTGATTTTTTGGTCTTGATTATCTCATTTGGGACCACCCGATCCTCTGTCTGTCAGGTGAATGCTTCTGATGTTATCATTTTGGAAGGCATTCTCGTTTTCCATGACTCACGAGTTCGGAATCTCATGGATATGAAGATCTTCGTTGACACTGGTAATAATCGACCAAATCCCTTACCCCCCTTGACTTGAGTTAACCTTGCTACTTCTGTCTATATATTTAGCCAAAATTGGGTATCACATTTCTTTCTCCAACCCTCCTCATATCTCTTACGCTTTTTTAAAATGCTTTGACAGATGCTGATGTAAGGCTTGCTCGCAGAATCAGGCGTGACACTGTTGAAAGGGGCAGGGATGTCACCTCTGTGCTCGACCAGGTTTGTGAACGTACCAGTTATGCCCTCTCGTACTACTTATCTGAGGATGTTATGTGCATTTTACAGTATAGAAAGTTCGTGAAGCCGGCGTTTGATGACTTTGTGCTTCCCTCTAAGAAGTATGCTGACGTCATCATTCCTCGAGGAGGTGACAATCACGTTGCTGTTGATTTGATTACCCAACACATCCACACTAAACTCGGACAGCATGATCTCTGCAAAATCTACCCTAATCTTTATGTCATCCATTCCACATTTCAGGTTATCTTTCTCTCTTTGATGCTTGAGTAAGTGTTCGTTTCAGTGGGTCTCATCATATAAGATCATGGTTGCAGATAAGAGGCATGCATACACTTATCAGGGACAAGGACATATCAAAGCATGATTTTGTGTTTTATTCAGATCGACTCATTCGTCTGGTATATTTCTCTGTGTCTTGTCTTCCCTCACTCAGATTTTAGGCTTTTTTTTTTTAATATTAGTTGACTATTTATCGGTTTCTATTGCAGGTGGTGGAGCATGGTCTTGGTCATTTGCCCTTCACTGAGAAACAAGTAGTTACTCCAACAGGTATGAGAATATAGTGCGTGACTTTATAATACACTGGCTTAGACAACTAGTAGAGTTTGCTTATTCTTATTTTCCACATCAGGAGCTGTGTACACTGGAGTTGATTTCTGCAAGAAACTCTGTGGGATCTCTATTATTCGAAGGTGAGAGCCTTGATTTAATATCTTGGAAGCATATATATGATTAAACGATCTTTGCCTAAAAGTTATCTCTTTTGTTCTTGTTAGTGGTGAAAGCATGGAAAATGCATTACGCGCTTGCTGCAAAGGGATGAATTTAGGGAAGATTCTTATCCACCGTCATGGAGACAATGGAAAACAGGTCTGCAATCTCTCTTCTTTTTTTTTATTGGTTAAAACGAATTTGAAAGTTTCTCCTCTCATATATGAATCAGCTTGTATATGAGAAGCTTCCTCAGGACATCTCTGAGCGCCATGTCTTGCTTCTAGACCCTGTCTTAGCTACAGGTACTTTCTCTCTTTTACGTTGCATATTCTATTTTCGATGGATACTTTTTTGCTACTTTGAACCCTATTTTCACTATTGTTTGTTGCTTCCTCTTGAAGGTAACTCTGCTAATGAAGCCATTGAACTACTCATACAGAAAGGAGTTCCTGAATCTCACATAATATTCCTGAACCTCATCTCTGTGAGTGTTGAAGCTAAAGCTCTCTTTCGCTCTCTCTCTTTCTACTAATTGTTAAAACATTGATTTCTGACAGGCGCCAGAAGGAATTCATTGTGTCTGCAAACGGTTTCCGGCATTGAAGATAGTGACATCTGAAATAGACCAGTGTCTGAACCAAGAGTTCCGAGTCATACCAGGTTTAGGCGAGTTTGGTGATCGTTACTTCGGCACTGACGAGTAAAAACCATGAGCCACCCACCACTAAACACTGGCCGGATGGAGCAATAAAGAGCGCTTTAGTGTGGTAATAGCTTAGACAGTAGTTGGAGTTGCATGTCCTACACAGAGCTTCTTAGTTCTTAACTTCTTCTTCATGATATTTTTCCCCTCTTATGATTTATTAAGCTCTTATTGCTTACTTCAGGTTATTCTTGAAAAACATTGATTCCTGATTTTTTTTTCCCAACAATTCCTGATTTTCTTAAATGGGAAATTGCATGGTACAACACCAAAAAATTTCAAAATTCAATCACTAACCAAAACAACACTCTGATCTCTTACTCTTCCTATCTCTACACCCCACTATAAAATTTATTTCTTTTTTTTTTCTTGGCTATTTCACAAGTAAGCCATTCTTAAATTACCAAATTTTCTATTTATAAACATGTTTGCGATCAGAAATAGGGATTTGCTGAACAGAACAAATTCAAAACCAAAGAATTCATAACCAAAATAGGGATTTATTTTTTTATTTTTGTTTTAAGAATTATTTTCATCTTAATGTTAAATAGAATAAAATACTATATTTAAAATTAGAATGGGAACTATTTTTATGTTTCAACATATTACGTTTCCAATCACATAAAATAAATTTACCAAACTTTATAAAAACAAATCTAATTATGGTTTTGACTTAAAAAAAAATAATCAAAGATATACAAACCAAACAAAAGAAATGTGATTTCTATGATAATTAATTTTTATAAATTGTCATACCAGAACCTATACCAGATCAAAATTGAGAATTCCTAGTAGAAATACATAAATCATTTGAGTATTTATAAAATTTGGATAATCTTAAATTAAGATCGGAAAAAAAAATTAGATACTAAAAGTAAAACCCTACAAAAATCGGATCTAATACGATCTTGACTATGAATAATTTAGGGTAATTCAGCTAAACTGTCAGTAATTTAAGACAATTCATACAAAAATATTGAGTAATTCAGGTTGTTCATTAAAATGTATCAAATTTCAGCAGGTAATTAAGTTTTCTCTATTAGTTTAGTTAATAACAGTGGCATAGCTAGCTCAATCTCTTTCATGGGTCAGTTTTGCACTATTTTCATCTTTTATAAGAGAAAACACAAGTAATTTTTTTAATAAAAAACCACATTGAACGTATGACCCTCTACAGTCCCCATGGAAGGGTAGCTTCGCAACTGTATAATACTGTTGTTTGGTATTTGATCATTTCAAAACTAAATCATATATATAATGGGGCACCTTTTGCCTCTCCCATATTAAGACACGCCAGCACAATAAACCGAAATAGTCTCATTCCAACCGGTTCAACTTGATTTCAAATCCCTATCTTTGGTCTAGCAAAAACCGCAGCGTTTGGGTATGACGAGTTTATTAGGGCTTTCTTAATATCGTCTTACAGAATTCTCGCCATCACTATTCATCTTCATTCTCTACAAATCTCTTCAACTCCCACATGGATGAAACCAACCCCCCCCCATTGATTCCAATTAAAGCTTCCACGAAACTGCACCTCTTCAGATCCTCATGTCAAGTGTATAAATTACCAAAGGATTCGGTGGAGTATGCATCTTCAAACCCTCTCATCTTCAATCAAGCCAAGAAAGTTCAGTTAATCTTCAATAATGGCTTCCTCTGATGCTGTCGTCTCACACACCACCTTTGATGTTCTCCAGATCGGTCGGTCTTCCCAGTTCGTCGTCGGCCGCCTTCTCCGCTCTTGGGACTCGAAAAACATCAAGAAGCAAGGCGAATTTATGGGGATCACCCTGCTTTTGCTTGATGAAAAGGTATGAACGATTCAGATCTCATATCTCTCTTTTATACTCAAAGGATCCATGAATTTAACTTAAATTTTTTTTCAAATTTAGGATGCTCTCATTCATGGGTTCATCCCTGCTGCTCAGGCCAGTTTCTACAGGCCATCGTTGCTTGACGGTTCTGTTGTCAAGGTCTCACGGTTTGAAGTGTCAAGATCCCCAACAACATATAAAATCACAGAGCATCCTTTTGTCATCAGGTTTCTTCCCCAGACCACCATTGATCAAGTCCTCGAGAATACTCATGTTATCAACGAACAAAAGTTCATGCTGAGGCAGTATGATCATCTCCAGGCTCTGGCGAACACAAACATAGAACTTCCAGGTGTGTCCCCGTTTAATTTAAATGGTTTGTGCTTTAGATGTACATATATATATATATATATGTGATTGGCTGTTGAAAATCTGAATCACGTCTACCATTGCAGATGTCGTCGGCCAGATTCAATTGGGGCAAGGATCTGATCTTGAGAACGAGGGAGTGATGACTCGAGTTGTTTTGCGCTTCATGATTGCACCGTAAGTTTTTAGAATTTTTTTATTGGTCCTGATCGTGAGATAAATTAAATTAAACAGAACTACCGACTGCAGTTTAAGTTGTAGCTGGTGTAGATTTATCGATAAACATATCGTACACTGCAAACTGCTGACAGGGAAGGCCTCTCTCGTGTAGTGTCTGTCTCTGTTTTGCCTTTGATTCTCTAGGTCTGTCTGAAACTCTTAATTTTGGTCTCTTACTACTAAAACATGTAATGTTCCTGAGTTGCGGTTTTGGAAAGTTTAGGACTTTTTAGCAATGAGGTTGTTGTTTGCTACGAGATTTCGCAATTGTGGAATTTTGGGCTGTTTTATTTATTTTTTATGCTGCATTTAAGTTCTGAGTAAAGTTTTCCCTTTTCTAAGTTTGAGGTTTTTTTTCTTTTGAAAAACGTCATTTCGGAGCTATATCATGTTGGCAGCATATTATATATTTTAGTTAACTCAAATCTGCTTAGATTAACTCATCATATATTGCAGGTGGCTCAATCCTTCAGATTTGTTATGTTATCTGCAGCGTTATTACTTAGTATACATATTATATATTGGACACACCTCCGATTTGTTATTTGGAATCGTATTATGCTATGTGATCCATTAAATAAATATCTTTACAGTCCTCACTTTCTTAATACATCTTCATTTGCATGATAGGTCTGTGGTGGTGTATCTATCTTCATGGGACGAGGCAGCCGGAAAGTTTCGAGGTATCATCGCCTCAGGTGACAAAACTAAAGCTGTAATGGTCGTCACCACTGTTAATCCCAAACTCTTTGGAGGTTAGAAAATTTGTTTTTCAATTTTATTTATTATATTGTCAGCTATAATGGTTGACTTCTTGGTTCTAACGTACATTATGTGCATTGCCTTTAATATATGATTACACACTCATTTAACAGGAAATCTGTACCTGAACTACCACATTGTGTGGCCGAACTTGCAGGGAGAGAGTTTGTATTCAACATCAGTGCAATCCCATACCATTTAATCACTAACCAAAGTTCATTCTCAGTCTCAGGAATCAGTGAAAGCAACAAGGAGGTATTATACTCGATCGTTTAAAAAAACCATCTCTGCAAACTATAAACAAAATAACAGTTTCAATATTACACAGACTATAAGCACTTCTCAAGGACCACCTAATGCAGTCAAGAGTGGAGAATCATCTTCCGGAACACACTACAACAACTACACACCTGCAGTGGCAAAAGACGATGGGGAACCAACCAGGGAATGAAAAAAACTATCTCCACCCATCACCCTTACTATCAAACTCCATTATGTTTATTTTCTTCTTAAAAAACTATGCTACTTTTTCATTATTGCATGCATGGTTTCACCATGCTGAATTCTAAATTCAACGGTGTAATAAACCTTTTTTAGACTTTTTCCAATTGGTGTGTTTTCATTTCAATCAACTTGCAGAATTGAAGTTATGGAAAAACACAATTTAGCATCCTATAATAGTATATAATGAAATAGCAATGAGTTCTGTTCTTTTTGTGCCCATTCTCTGCTATAAAACAACAGATTAGCAACTACGTAATACGTATAATACCGTCTCCCTTAAGTCCCTTACCTAAAACTTACAAATGCATGTCCAATAATTTAGTTTGCAGGTTTGTGTATATGATCATGGAGCTCAGTCAACCAGCCCCAGCTCCGAATAACACATAACTAAATTTGTAAAGAGAGGAAATAAAATGATTCACTGAGAGTTCTGGTGATCCTTTTAGTTTTTCAATAAATAAGATAGAAACCTATAACCTTCCAGAAAGGAACGATTTCTATATTTCCCAGTATTGTTTTTGTTTGACTTGCGAGTCACACTTTATGTTTTTTAAATGAATATATTAATACAAAAGGATTATTCCGAGAAAATTCAATATTTCTACTCAAATTCATACACAGTTTATTTTAAAAATTTGTATTGAATAATTAAACGTATATCAGACTAATAACCAATGTGCAGAAGCTCACAATTACGCCTTCTTTATAATAAATATTGTGGCTGTCAAAACATACAGACTCATTTCAAATACTCAAACAAAATCGAGAAGGTATCCTCCAACTCTTAGACAGTTGAGAAGAACTACACAAAGCATTACATGCCTGTCACTAATTCAACATCAATTACAGCTGAAAAACGCAGAGCTCGAGAAATAAGGAAAGCCATTATTCTCGCCAGAAGAATGCATGTCCTAAAGCATTATACTACAACCACAAGCTACAGTCAACATCCCCGCGCTTGCGCGGGGCTACGCCCCTAGTATCTTTATATATAAAGTAGCTTGTTTTTTCCAAAGGGGGAAAATCACCACGTGTCCCATCATTATTAAAACGATATGTTTTGTACACAGACTGATTTCTAACTTTGAGTTTGGTTATTGGGCCATAGTTTGATCTTACTTAAAATCAATCTTTAATTCCATTAATGAAGGCTCAGCCCACCTCTCTTCCCACTCCCTCTTACTTATTCTCAGAGCGTTGTGACATCTATATATAGCGTTGTAACATCTATATATATATATATATATATGTCTTCGTCGAGTTGCAGAGAAAGTCATCAATCTCTGTAAATCCTTAGAATCTCAAAATCTTTCACTTAAACACTTCAAAGACATAGGATAACCAACATGCTGCTCTCGATTTAAGGAGATGTTCTGAGAAGCAAAAACTGTGAAAAAGGTGGGGGAGCTTATGGGGTGTGGACATGGTGGTTTGTATATCTCATCTTCATTCTCTGATGTGTGATACTGGTTCATAAATTTTAGGTTTATATGAAGATCTTAGTTGCACCTTAGTCGGTTTTGATGATGATAATTATTGGCTAATTCTGATTTCAAAGAGATTGATTGTGATTTTTTTTTTTGGGTTTATAGCATACTCTAATTGAATGTGAATGATATTTGAATGTGTGAATAAACTATGTTTTCAATTGGTTTTGTTGTGACAGATGCAAGGAGATCGTTTGGTCGGAGATTTAGTGATGCATCTGCCCAAAGCAACATGAAGCTATGGCCTTTCAAAATCATACCTGATCCTGCCGATAAACCCATGATCGTCGTCAATTACAAAGGCAAAGAGAAACAGTTAGACGCTGAGGAGATCTCTTCCATGGTTCTCATCAAGGTACATGAGATCGCTGAAGCCATAGCTTCATGTCACTGTAAAGAGTGCTGTTGTCACTGTTCCANGCCCAAAGCAACATGAAGCTATGGCCTTTCAAAATCATACCTGATCCTGCCGATAAACCCATGATCGTCGTCAATTACAAAGGCAAAGAGAAACAGTTAGACGCTGAGGAGATCTCTTCCATGGTTCTCATCAAGGTACATGAGATCGCTGAAGCCATAGCTTCATGTCACTGTAAAGAGTGCTGTTGTCACTGTTCCATCTTACTTCGCTCGACTCTCAGCGTCAAGCCACAAAAGAGGCTGGTGTAATCGCTGGTCTTAATTTTATATATGTGTATCACGAGCCCACTGCAGCATCCATTGCTTATGACCATGACAAGAAGGTGACAGTGTTGGAGAGAAGAACGTCTTGATCTTTGATCTCAACTGTTTTTTGTTGTTGCTAAGAATGTGAATAAATTGAATACAAGTTGATCATAAAATGAATAATGAACAGAAATACAAGTTGTTAGCTTGGATCCCATTCTTCTTATGCAGCTAGATGGTTCCTAAGAACCCAAAAAGAGATTTAGGAAAAAAAAACACTTAGGAACAAGATCAGATGTAACAAGTTTCTTGCGGAAAAAAATGACTTGCGAACCAATGCTAAAACAAATAAAACAAGGTTACTAGGCCAATAAAATAATGACTAGAGGGAGGTTTGCTCAGAGCTCATTAGGTGGAAGACTTTGTTTCAACTGCTCCAGTCTCCAAAAATCTAGGCTTTCATCCTAATGGTATTGTTAATTAAATGCAGTCTTTTTAATTGATTTCCACATCTCATATTTTGAAGTTGATGACATTGTTATGATCTTACATACTTTGAGTACAAGCGGGATAAAAAAAAACATGATTACGGTCCTTATCGTAATGTTCATTAAATTTAAAATCTGCCTTTTAAAATGATTTATACATATGTAATATTGATTAAGCAGTTCTATTTTTAAAAATCTTCAAAACTTTAAGTATTTTTAACTTTATTAAGATGGATTCGCCATTTACCTGGACTATTTAAAAAATATGACTTTACATACTTCTCATGTTTACATCATAGCTTTCAGTCGGCAGATAGCACTAACTGTATAAGGTATACCAAATCTAACTGTAGAGGTAAAATAATTTGTTTACAATGCTCAATGGTCTTAATGTATGTCTCAACACCAATCTTGAGATTTAGGTTTTGCATATCGTGTTTGGCAGAAAATTTGGGAAGGTTGCAAGGCAAGCTATGAAGCATTTTGGAGACCTCAAAAAGTTCCAAATCAAAACCTAGGCAACTGGACTTCACACAACTTCAATTAATTTTGTACAGAGACCCTCCAAAACTCTGTTTTACAATCATTTCCTCATTGTTAAATTGCAGGCCTACAACCGGTAGTGCAGCCTGCGGAAGTTGTTCTTTTGCTAATTGCGAAGAATGAAGTACCACATGTTCTGGAGGTGCAACTTCTTAAAAAATAACGCATCAAATTAGCTCAAATACCAAAAATGAAGTAGAGAGGTAAAAGCTATCAACCAACTATTGTCCACCTGATTCCACACTTATTTAAAACATGCATTCAACTCATCACAAGATAATGCTAAAGCAAAAAGAGCTTTACAGATTCAAATTAGGACGTTTTCACGGGAGATGATGAATACAAAAACAAAAAAAAACTCTCCACTTTTCAAAAACAATACAAATTTCAAAAGCTATTATGCTTGCTTCAAATTTTAAACTTATACAAATTTCTCAAGTAGGTGGTGATTATCCATGTGTTTACTTTCAACAGATCATTCAGCGTAAAGTTGAGATACTCCAGGTATGCATCTATTATGCTACAGGAAATCAGCCCAGCTGAATCCCACATTCCCGCTCACAGGACCAAACTAAGATATCTTTCAAAAGTTAGCTCAAGTCAGCCCAGATGCCACCCACACACACACAAAATATACTTGACTCTTAATAAACTCTCAGCCTCACTTGAGAACATATCCATCTGAACGCACCCTAACAAGGTGAAGCAGAGCTTGCTATTAGACGTATCTACACCCAACGCCATGGTAAAGAAGCCTCCTCGGAGCAGCTGGCTTAAAAGCATCAGACTCAAGTAAACAAACACTATACAAAACTAAATTAGATCATCTATCACCTGAAATAATTGTTACACACATAATAATCAAACAAACATGACAATACTTAAAAGTAAAATACACTAAATCATCGTATCAACTTTACAAAAATAAAACACATTAAAACCAAATCAATAGGTAAAATAATTAACAACATTATAAAAATAATAGTTATTCTTACTTTATTTTTATTATTTTTGAAACATCATTATTCTTACTTTATTTTTTCTTCAATGTCAAATTGAAACATAAATCATTACATTTTCCATAATTTTTAATTTAATAATTTTGTGTTCTCTGCTGTTAAAAAAATAATAATTTTGTGTTCTCTACCAAAAATAATGTTAGTGATCTTTTTAACTCAAACCAACAAATTTATAAAATCTAAATTTGATCTTAGAATAAAAATAGCTTATATTTATTATTTTCATTATAAAGTAAAGTTCCAAATGTTATATAAAATTAGAAAAGAATTAATATAAGATAATTTTAGTGTAAATTTACCCGTCCAGGCGGGTCAATCCCTAGTAAATAATAATTTTGGACATATAAATTGTAGTTTGAATATTTCGGTAGCGATTTGGTTATCTTTTTTTTTATTTTAGAAACAGAAACATCGGTTTAGTTTAGTTTTGTTTTGTTTTTTTTATTTACGGTTCGGTTCTTCGTTTTAGGTAAAACGCCTACGCTTAAGCCCTCCGATCTATCAAGGGTTTTCCGTTTACTGATTTCTGTGGCGAACTCAAATCAATCTCGAAATGGAATCCGATCTCGAGGAGGAGAAGTCGAAGAAAGCGTATTTGGATAAGATCCGAGAGAATTATATACGGTTCATGGAGGATAGCAGTCGGGAGAAGCTGGATCCGGCCATCTACAGAAACGATGGAGGCGCGAAGAAGAGGGAGGAGGAGGCGGAGATGAATATGCTTCGAAGGCGTAGAGAGAGGTTAATGAGGCGTAGAGAGAGGTTAATGAGGCGTAGGAGGCAGAGAGAGATGCAGAAGCAATCAAAACCAGAGGAGGAGGAGGAGGAATCATTTACCAGTTGTGACTCAGACGTGGAGATGAACATTTCCCTGGAGGAAGTGAAACGCCTCATGGAGAATATGAATTCGACTTTGACGTCTAAAGAGGAGGATAGAGGAGACGCCGTGAAGATAGAGGAGGATTCCAAGGCGAAGGAGGAGGAAATGAGTATCGCTGACGATGACGAGAACATGTTCCCAAGGACTAGAGGGAGACTCGTGAGGTATTTAAGGCGGCAGAGGTCCAAGCCACCAGCCTCCTCCGCCTTCCAAATCGAGTTCCATCATCTCCAGCTGCCATCGGACGACGAGTAATTGCATATGCAGAGACTTCCACTTTGACATAGCAATTGCCTCCTACTCTCTCTCTCAGCATATCTGTACTGGACAAAAAGTGTACTTATTCTCGTCACAGCATCTCTGTTAATTATAAAACCCCACTTCCTCATCAGGCTAAGATGTGCCCCCGTGCCACTCTTCGTATATGATATCAACTTCCACCTGTCCGGGGATCTAGAGCCGAATATAGTTTAACGATTGAGCCCTTTCGGCTTCCATTCCCTTTCATTCTTATTTTTAGCTGTATTGATCATCTATATATATTATTAGGATTACCATATGCATTAACATGACATTCATAGACTTTCCGATTTATGATACTAAAAGTATATGAAATGTTCAATCCTATATTTTATAATTCGAACCTGCATATAAGTAGGCGCAACAAATGTGACAAGTTTAAAAACTCAAGCAAAATGCTCATATTTATGTACAGAAAAACAACCGATTAGTACCCGAACTAGGGTTATATTGTCTAATTGATACCTGAACAATTTATCTGTGCGATATGATACCTGAATTAATAGAAAATTTGAATTTAATATCTGAACTTAGAACAAAAAGCTTTTAAACACCTATGATATCGACAGCGTTTCACCTTGGTTCTTTCCTCATGACAAACTTGCATTCCAGTAAACCAACGTGTGAGGTCTTAACGATTTGTTAGCAAAGACAGAGGCTGCAAATATAACTAAAATGGGCCAACAGAAAATCAAACCCACTTCACATATCATCCTTTTCCTGCTGACAAGATCAAGCTGCAGCAGTTATCTTCTCAAAAGGCAAACAATAAAGCTAGAGCTACGAGGAACGTGTTGCAACCAGGGTCGATTCAATAAATTATAGGGGCCCTGGGCAAAAAATTAAGTTAAAACCCTACTGTTATTTTTTTAAAAAAATATTTGAATATTATTAAAATTGTTATAGTTATTTTAAATAAATTAGTCTCATTTATTTATTTTTAATTTTAGTTTTAAACTAGTGATTTTATATTATTACGTTTAGAACATATTTAAAAATTTAAAATCTAAATTATATATTTTAAATAAAAGAAAAAAATAAAACAAAGTTTTATACTCCAGTAACCGCATGACTGATGTTGAAGCGGTAACGATTGGGAAAACAATATTTTTAACCTTTGTCTATGGAGATCCAGCTCAACAATTACGGAATCAGATATGGGAACGGTTAACTCGATCTGGTTATCACTATCGGATCTTTGGTTCATTATTGGAGATCTGAATGAGATAACTGGAAATCACGGAAAGGAGGGTGGATCTTTGAGGAGCCCAAGTTCTTTTGTCCCATTTAACAGCATTATAAGAAACACTGGACTATTAGAGTTTCCGGCTCATGGGAATCATATGTCATGGCAAGAACGAAGAGAGAAAGGGAAAGGGTCAGGAATAATTAGATGTCGTTTAGATAGAGCGTTAGCGAACGAAGAATGGTACACACTTTTTCCATGTTCTTACACATAATATCTAGGGATGGTGGGATCTTATCATCATCCAGTGGTGGCCTATATGGAGGATAAAGTTCCTAAGATAAGGGGGTAATCTAGGTTTGATAAGAGGTAGATTGGACAAGAAGGACTCACGGAATCAGTTGCTTCTGGTTGGATTAAGCATTATGAGGGTCAAACAATGGACTTATTTACAAAAATCAGTAACTGCCGACACGAAATTGCGAAGTGGCAAAAAATAATCCACCATTTGGAAAGGACAAAATCCAAGACCTCCCAAAAGCTCTCGAAGAGGTGCAAACAGACAATAATAGATTCTGGAAGTGTCCAGGAAATTACATGATGCTTATAAGGATGACAAAGATTACTGGCATCAGAAAAGCCGTAATATGTGGTACTTAGGGGGGTGATCGGAATACCAAATGTTTTCATGCCTTAACGAAACAAAGACGGATGCGAAATAAAATTGTGGAGCTTCATGATGAAGATGGGAACTTGATAACAGAGGAGAACATGGTGGAGAAGGTAACGGTGGACTACTTTGAGGATCTATTTACCTCCACCTCCCCAACAGACTTTGATAGTTTTCTAGCCGAGGTTACCCCCTCTATCACCTCTCAGATGAATGAGAGGCTGCTCAGGCCGGCGATGGAAGACGAGGTTAGACATGCTTTGTTTATGATGCATCCAGAGAAAGCTCCAGAACCGGATGGAATGACAACCCTCTTCTTCCAACACTCATGGTGAACAATTTTTTGGTTTTGGGATTCTAGACTCGAGGTTAAATATTACTCATATTTGTATGATTCCAAAGACAAAGAGACCAACCAAAATGACAGAACTTAGACCAATAAGTCTTTATAATGTAGGATACAAGATTATTTCAAAGGTTTTATGCCAGCGACAGAAAATTTGTCTTCCAAAACTTATTTCGGAAACCCAATCAGCGTTTGTGGCGGGTAGGCTAATATCAGACAACATCATCATAGCACATGAGATGTTCCATGGATTGACAACAAATAAATCTCTAAACTTGACTTTTATTTTCCTTCTGCGAGTAAACCGTCAAAACGTCGTCAAATCTGCGGGTTAGATTCCGTCAAGATCGCGAGATGGATTTTTATCGCGTTTTAGGTCCTTTCGGGCTGTTTTGCGATAAATCCGTTTTCCGACTTTTACGGGATCGTTTTCTGATCTGACGTCGTTTTTAATAATTTACTCGAGTTAATCACAAGGTTTTACGATTTACTCGACTTTTTATTAAAAACACGTTTTTTACGACTTACTCGGCGTTTTTTATTATAAGCGCGTTTTTTATGATTTCAACGAGAAATCTCGAATAAATCGTATAGTTTAGGCAATGTTCGGTGTTTCGTTTAACCGTTGCCGTTTTATACGATTTCCTCGAGTTCTTTCCGAGAAAACGAAGTTTTACGGTTTTTATCGTAAAACTCGAACGGTAAGTCGGATCGAGATGGAACGGGAGATATTTCGGCCGTGGTGTAGAATGCGACCTTGTCGAAAGACGTGAGTTTCGAGTCGGGAATGCGGGAAATCGAGACGTGGAGTGTCCGGGAAGTCTCAAGTTCACCCATCGGCGAACTAAGCCGGTCCGGCTTAGTTCGCCGATGGGCGAACTAGTCGAGCTTGTCCTAGTTCGCCCATCGGCGAACTAAGCTAGTTCGCGTTTTACGGCTTTTTCGGTTTTTTTTGCGGTTTCGTAAAACGATTCTCGAGTTTTATAAAACGATCTTCGGACGGAATTTTGGGGAAATATTTTTCTTCGAGAATTTAGGCGACGTCTCGCCCGTTCTTTCCAAAAATATTTTGATATTCGAATTTTTATAAAAAATGATTGAGTAGTTGTTACTGCGGAAGCGATTTTCCGGATTTGCGTTTTTTGATGGTAGCAGAGATATTCTAACTTTGTCTTTATTAAAAATTTTGAAAAATTTTCGATTACAAAGCTAAAAGAAATTTTGTAAAAAAATTTGGGAGTATACGAATACTCGTATACTCACCCACTCCCCCCCCGCTTTGGAAGGGGGGATAGCTGAACTCGTCTTTAGGCGAGCTGCCTACGTATTCCTTTCGGAAATCAAGCCATCTCGTAGTTCTGATTGTTTGCGCGAGTGTGTTTACTCGGCTGTCGTAGACTTCTCGATCGCTTCAGTCGCGGGATCGATGTCTTTGTCCGGGATTGTCTCCTCCGGTTGGGCGGAAGCNAAGGGGGGATAGCTGAACTCGTCTTTAGGCGAGCTGCCTACGTATTCCTTTCGGAAATCAAGCCATCTCGTAGTTCTGATTGTTTGCGCGAGTGTGTTTACTCGGCTGTCGTAGACTTCTCGATCGCTTCAGTCGCGGGATCGATGTCTTTGTCCGGGATTGTCTCCTCCGGTTGGGCGGAAGCGATGGGTGCGGAAACCTCTGGTTTCTCGGCCGTTGCTTGCTTCGGGTCGTCGTCTGCGGGCGGTGGCGTGACCTTTGCCCGTTTTGGTTTCACGATCGCGACCGTTAATTGCCTCAGCTTATGTTTGGCCAGGAAGCAAGATCGCGATTGTCTTTGGCATCCCCAATTTACTGCGACTCCCGTAGGCGTCAGGAATTTGATGCCTAAGTGATATGTGGACAGAACCGCCTTCATGGAATTTATCCAAGGCGTGCCCATAATCATGTTGTAGATAGCCGGGAAATCGACTACCACAAAGTTAACGATTTTCGTCACTTCTTTCGCGACGACCGGTAGTCGGATTGATCCCAGGGTCATTGACGTTTCGCCGGAGAAACTAGTCTGCGGTTTTGGAATCGGCTCGACTTCCGAGAGGTCGATTCCCATGCGTGCTAGCGTGCTGCGGAAGATGACGTTGACCGTGCTTCCGGTTTCAACCAGGATTCGAGCAACCTCTAGATCGCTTATCACCAAATCGATGACAAGGGGATCGGCATGCGGTTGGTCGATTCCACCGGTTTCAGCATCGTTGATTCGTTCAGCGTCGTGTCAGGGTTTTCTTTTCCGGAATCTTTTTCCGGTACGTTTTCCTGATCGATTCTGGGACGATCAGTAGGAGCGCCGAAATCGAGTCTCCTTCCGCGGTTTTTGGTAGTTCCGCGGGGGAGAATCGCTTTGGTTCTCGCGGTTAGGGTTTTGAGCCGTTTTGCGAGCGAACCAATGAGCTTTTCCTGCTCTTCCGATTTTTTGTTAAACTCGGAAAGCATCTTTTCGACGGTCTCGGCGTTAGCGTTCGTAGCGTTGGCCGCAGGCGCGTCTTTTGGTAGTGGTGTTTCAACGTTGTCGCGTTCGTCGCGAGTTTGGTTGTCACCAGCCATCGTTTCTTCGTTGGACATGNGATAACTTAGAATTTGAATGAAAATAAACGAAATAGAGAGCAAAGAGGTTCTTATTCCGAATCTGCGTAGAATTGGTACAAAAGAGTAGCCGAAAAGCTTAAGAACGAAAACCCTAATTGAGACGCAGCTCGCTAACAGAAAAACGGAAATATTCCTAAATGCTAGTTTTGGTGGTGAGAGCTCTGAATTTCGTGTGTGCTGCTTATGCCCTAGACCTCCTATTTATATACTCCTCACCTTGGCTATCCGATCTTTCCATTTCGCCCAGATTTGACTAAATCGGGAATTTTCCATTCTTCTCGATCCTTCCTTTTCTTCTGCGGAAATCTTCTATTTATCTTCAAACCTTCCTCCTGTCGGAGAATCGTCCATCGGCACCTTCCAACTCGAGCCGGTTTCGGCTTTACGTTGGTAGGATTTTATTGACGAGACGGTGTCGTTAAAGTATGGCGATTCGCCGATGATCATGTTGATTTTTCGGCAGTTAGCATCGTTGCCCTTCTCGTCTGCTCTTCGTCCGCGTTTTTCGCCCGACTGATTTTCCTGAGGCGGAGTTTGCGCGTTTTTGTCATTCTTCGGGACGCGGTCCGAA